ATGATAAAGAAAAAAAGGAGAAAAACAAATACTGGATGGTTTCACTGGATGGGGATCTGAGTGGATCTGAGTGGAGATGATATGAGGATTTGTGGTTGTGGATAGTTCTTCTAGTAGTGTTGTGGAGAATTGACTATAGGGGACATGATTGGAGGCAGAAAACTGGGAGGTAAGTATAGTAGTTTGGATGAGAAATGATGGTGACTTGGATAAGAAGGAAGGCAATGGAGGTGGTGAGAAGTGATCATGTTTTAGATATATTTTGAATGTTGAGCTGATTGGTAGTAGGAAGGAAAAACAACTAATGGTTTGAATGGAGAGAATGGGGGTTATTGTCAAAGGAAGAAAGGAGTGACGGATAACACCAAATTTTTTATCCTGAGAATCTTGGTAGAAGAAAGTAATTATGTACTTCTGTGGGGAAGACTAGGGAGGAGTAGATTGAGGGAATTAAAAAATTCTGTGTTGGACAGGATAAATTTGTGATGTGGATTAGATATCCAAGTGGGCAGCTGGATATAGGAATCTGGTTCTCAGAAGGGCTTTGGGACTAGAGATATACATTTGGGAATCATCGATATATATATATATATATATATATATTTAAATATTAAAATATATATATATAAAATATTTAAAGCCATGACACTGGGTACAATCAATGTAGGCATGAGGATAAATGGCGAAAAAGAATCAAGGGACTGAACATTGAGGTATGGCAACATTTAGTGGTTGGGAAGAGATGGACAAAGCAACAGAGGAGATGGAAGAGATTTGCCAGTGAAGGAACTAAATTAGGAGAATGTGGTACCCCAGAAACCAGGCAAAGAAAGTGTTTCAAAAAGAGTAATATCCATGAGAAAAGCCTCTGCAAGATCAAGTGAGATGAGGACTGAGAACTGAACTGGATTTTGGCAAGATGTGACCCACAGTGTCATGGGGGTGGGAATGTAAGGAAGCAGACAAATTGCTATGTGGTGGCAGTTGTGTTATAGAATTTTTAACCAATTTCTGGAGGGGGTTGGAGATGGAACAAGAAACTCTCCTTGAGGAGTCAAGAAGAGTTACATGAAAGAGATGTACTTTTGAATTCTGACAGGTAGGAGGAAGAGAATGTTTTCTACCTACTAAAAGCCATAACATTAAAAAAATTTTTTTCTAGTTGATTCTTGATATTTCTACAATCACTCAGGCAAAGCTAATATTTCCTCTCCCAAGTAAATATCTCAAGTGAATATTCCTCCATATTGACATTTATTAATTATCAATACACATGGTGACTATATTGTAAGAACAATCTATATACTCCATTATACCCTACTCCATATGGAAGATACTCTTAGAATTATATTTCCCTTGTTGTAGTCTTTATCTTTTAATTTCATTTTAATTTCCATTCATAACTGTGTATAAATATAGAGATCCTGTTCTTAATAATAAGAACTATCATGTGCCTAACATATACATGTGTGAGAGTCCACTTAAGAACTTTATTGGTATTGGTATTTACCCAAAGGACACAGAAACATCAATTCCAAGGAGCACCTGCACCCCTATGTTTAGAGCAGCACTATTTACAATAACTAAGCTTTAGAAACAACCCAAATGCCCAAAAATTGATGACTGGATCAAGAAGATGTGGTATATATACACCATGGAATATTACTAGCAGTCAAAAAAGATAACCTTATGCAATTTGCAGCAACATAGATAGAGCTGGAAGGATCATGCACAGTGAAATAAGCCAGAATGAAAAAGAAAAATACTGGATGGTCTCACTTATACCAGGAATCTAGAAAACCTAAATAAGGGACCAGGAAAAAGAATAACTATAAGAAAGAAAAAAATTAAAATTAACAAACAACTATGAACCAGAGAGACACTATGGGGGGGGCAGAGAAAGGAGGGATAGGGTCAAAATAAGGGGGTTGCAATTGTTTGGGGAATATAAAAATAAAATTAAAAAAATATGTATGAAAAATAAATTTTCTAGTTAAAAAAAAGAACTTTATTGGTATTAATTTTGTTTTCACAAAATTTGTGCTAAGTAAGGCACAGAGAGTTTAAGTAACTTGTTTAAGACCACACAGTATCAGCATAGTCAGTATTAGAATTAGATTGTCTGACTTCAGAGATCACAATGTGGAGCATTATTATGCTGCATTTTCATCCTTACTATTCTACCTCTAACTTCCTGAGATGGGCAGCTATTAGGGAAAAATCTTCAATGGATAGGCTCTTTGACATGAGCTGCTGTTTTCTGAAGATTTAGTAACCCAGTTGCAGGTTGTCATTTCAGAGTGTGCTAATAGGACTCAGGGATTAGATAATGGATATTTCTCCACATGGAGAAGGGAACATTAGTTCCTTTACAATTGATTGCAGATTCTCATGTGACTGCCTAAGGATTTTTGTTCAATCAAATTATGCATGGGGAGGGTGGCTATAAAAGGAGCTAGAGTGTTTGTGATTGAGAAGATCCCTCTACTAATGGAAAAGTTCACTTCATTATGATTCTAGCTATATATGGCTCATGTCTGCATTTTCTTTATAACTTAACTAAAAGCATGTGAGAGGGTTGGGTACTTAAAAAGGCACAAAGTATAAATCAAAGTAAAAATATTTGAGAATGCCCACTATATGCAAAGTATTACTTTGTGGAATCTCGCAGTGTTTCCACCTTTGTTTGATATCTAATTTTTTTTTTAAATAGAGGCATGTTTTATTTATTTTATTTGTTTATGTTTGTTTGTTTGTACATGCACTGGGTACAGTCAGAAGCGTGGGAGGGTGAGAGAATTCACCAGAGCCAGAGCAGGGAGCAGAGCAGGCAGAAGGACCGAAGTACACTGCTGAGGGGAGCAGCGGGCGGCAGGAGAGGTCTGCGCGCCATGCGGGACCCTCCTCCGGTGGCCGGGGAGCAGCCGGGGATCGAACCGGCGCCGCAGAGGCCGCGGGCAGCTTCGCAACCCAGCGCTCAACCGCTGCGCCACCGGGGAGGACCTTATCTAATTTTTTTTTAATAGCTGATTTTAGTTCTACTGATAGTTTTATCCTCTTCCTTCTGGACACTGCAGGGTGCTTGGTTTACCCAGTTCACGGGGATTGGAACACAATTTTTTTTTTAAAAGATTAATTTATTTATACAAGCACTGGGTACAGTCAGAAGTGTGGGAGGGTGAGAGAATTCACCAGAGCGGGGAACAGAACAGGCAGACTGACGAAACAGACTACTGAAGGGAGCAGTGGGTATGGCAGGAGAGGTATGCCGCGCCACGTGGGATCCTCGCCGGTGGCGGGGGATCTAACCAGCGCTGCAGAGGCTGCGAGCAGCTTTGCAGCCCAGCGCTCAACCACTGCGCCACCAGGGGAGTCCCTGGAACACATAATTTTTAAAAGCAATCGAAGCCCCTCCCTTTAGTAGATTTTGGGTTAGCTTGATCTAAAAGGTTTTTTTTAATTTTAAAAAATTTTATTTATTTTAAAATTATTTATTTTCCTTACATCTTTGTTTATTTTTTGGATATTTGATCTAAAAGTTTTTGAAATTAGGTACCAACCAGTTCTTTTGACTGTCAAAAAGAAGGTATAGAATAAATAACCTTTGCTAAGAAATTAACAAAGCATACTAGTAATTTTTTAAAGCTACAGACCCTTTAATTTTGTTATTAGGTTGTTCCCAAGATGAAAGTTCTTTATTAAAGAGTTTCTCTTTATTTTGTTCTTATTACAATGTTCTTCTCTGGGCATAGTCATTATATTTTCAGAAAGATTTAAGGGAGCCAGCATTAAAATTTGTTCTTCCTTTCTGCAAATGTAGGAAAACCTGCTGGATATGATGTTTACTGTAGTTCTCTCCCTGTCTGCTATGTAATATTTTCATAAATCATGCACATGTAGGAAGGTGATTGTTTAGCTCCGGGAAAGAAGCTACTTCCTACAGAAAGAGGATTTCAAATGGCCACATTACAAAGCCAACACTCACACAGGCTTCCTGTGGGCGGTTTCCCCTTTGCTGAACCTGACCCAAAGTCCAGGTGAAAAAAGAGAAATTTTCCTCTATTTAAATCTCAAATCTCTGTAATTCACCAAGCTCTGTTGAAAAGTCGTAACATTTAGGCTTCTGTATACTTGAAGAATTTCATGAACTTGCTTTTGAGAAATTTAGGATTTGTTTTGGAAATTAAGAGAAAAATTAAGAGTCAAAATGGAAAAATTCAGATAAACTAACACCAGGATAAGTACACCTACAAACTTTAGAACACTCAAAAATATGTAATTGAAAGATTTAAGTTATGGCTGCCACATCTTAACTGTTATGCTATTTTAATAACTGCTTTACAATGTTTTATACACGATTTTGTCCTTCTGGACATACTTTAAAATAATGCATTTTATTTTTATTTTTACCTTTAAAGAACATTTCAATTAAAACTATTTCCTCTAATTCAAGATAGATTGCCTGACAGATATTAAAAAACTTAATTCTTTCCCTTATCTACAGTGCCAGGGAAATTAAAGTATAGTAATATAACATTAGTTGTTACTGGGGAAAAATAATTTTTCTAACGTTTATTAATCTTAGCATTTTCACTTATGGATGACATGAGACGAATAAATGACAAGTGGCAAGAATACTTCTTTCACCAGTTATAGGGTTGGTAAATAAAAAAAAGTATATGACGCAATTACAGCTACATTTCAAAATGCTCACAATAAAAAGTTGATGAAACTTTTGGAGAGTAAAAACCTAGAGGGCAGTTCAGACTATTTCTCCAGAGTTATTCATTTGCTTTAAGGAGGAAAAAAGTGTTCCAGCACAAGTTGCTTATTCGAACAATTCCAGCAAAGCCCATGATTATATGTTATCCTAAGTTACCTGGGTGTCGCCAGGCCTGCCCTCACTACTGACATTAAAAATTAGCCGGGCCCTTCTGAAGTGGAGGTGTCGCCTCCCACGCTCACCCCACGTGCAGGGCCAGGTCTCCACTCTCCCTTACCTGCGTAGTGGTCAAACACCGTGGGCACGTACTCCTCCGGGAAGGCGTCGTTGGCATAGCTCATCAGCAGGCAGGTTTTCCCCACTGCGCCGTCTCCGACCACCACGCACTTCAGCATCTTCTTCTCCTCGTTGCCACTGCAGCCACAGCCGCTGTCATTTGCCTCCTTGCAGTTCATTCCTGCGGCTCCAGCTGCCCTGGCCGTGCTGCTGCTGCTGCTGTTGCTTCTCCTGCTTCTCCCAAAGCCCATGAAACCGTGGGACGTGAGCAGCGGGCTTGCGATCACTGCGCCCCTCTCTTTGTGTCTGGGATCACACAGATATGTCCAAGGAGGCTGGCATGTGCCTTCTTGCTTACCATGCTGGGCAAGACAGGTAACACACACTTGGGGGACTAGTTAAAAGGGTCTGCCCCTTTATCAGTTTAAGTGAGGAAACCTCATTGTCACTGAATTCTAGGGGCTTCCTGGCTGTCCAGAAATTTCAACAGCCTGAGGGTCTCACTCTGCTCTCCCTCTTTCTAGCCTGACTGAAGACACGATGGAATGTTGCTAAATCTTCCCCATTTTTCACTTCACTTCTAACATGGAGGAAAGCTGGGCTTTTAAAGGAGTTTCCCCTTGCTTCCTCCAGCTTGCGGAGTGTCAGGAAATCATGGGTTTCCTGCTGCATTCCATATTAGGATCAGTGGGCTGGGAAAGGCTGCAACAATGGAGCTCTGTGTGTGTGTGTGTGTGTGTGTGTGTGTGTGTGTGTGTGTGTGTGTGTGTGTACTTCTGGGGAACGCTGCCAGGACACGGAGTGGGAAAACACTAGGGGTCCCGCTGCAGACTCAAGCTGTCAGACTTCCTGTTTCATCCACTGCTGGGGAGGCTGTTTGCCTGTGTGGACTGGGAAGAAGCAGATGAAGGGTGGACGCTGGGGAGTACTGTCTGCCACAGAAACAGAGGGGATGGTTTAAGTGAGCAGAGCGAGCCACAACCAGCCGTTGTAGGATAACATATGACATCATCCCTCACTGAGTCACCGGTTAAAAACTCTGCAGATTAAATATGGACAGTGCTTCGCATACTTAAATGAGAAACCTTGAGCAATTTGTCCGTGCAATAAAGAAGAAAATCTTCCAGAGTTACACTGTTCCTGAGGGAAACATTTTTGTAGCTCGTAGGTAGGATACATGTGATCAGGTTTATAAGCTGTCACATTTGAGCACAAGGCTCGCATGTGTATTCCAGACACACACATTTTTATGGTTGTTGCACATGAGAAGTCAATCAGATGTGGGATGTTTGCATCTTCTTATTAGTGAATAAACACACATGTGCTTGGCTCACACTCTTGGAAACAGTCTGGTTTATTGGTTTGTTTCGGGCCGCCAAACGCCACTTTTGCTCTCACTTTTCCTTTTTTCGTTTAGTCCTCTCCCCTTGGGTCAGCCTGGCCCACTTCAATTACAAAGGAACCATTGGCGGCTAATGTATTTGTCTGTTGGGTCACTCAAAATGACGCCCCTTTGAAGCCCTGTATTTGATTAATGCATTTGGGCTCAGAAAAGAAATGGAACTCTGCAAATGATTTTGACAAATGGGTCAAATACTTTTTTGGTGGAGGAATTCTGTGTTTCTTTGAGATTTCAAGCACTTATTTTTATTTTTTATTGAATGAAGTACCATTGTTTTACATCCTTGTTAATAGTTTCACAGTATGTGGTTTCTCCCACAAGTGTGGTTGCCGTAGCTCTCCCTCCAATAAAGTACCACATTCCACCATCGTAGTCCATTGTCAAGCACTTGTTTTTAAGATTCTGATGATCCATTGATTCGAGGGGGTTCATATTAAGGACGGGGAGGCAGAGAAGTCTATTTTAATGAGTGCCTATAATATATATATATAAAATATATAATATATATATATATATTCACATGCCTGTGCAATGTATAGCAGGTCTTCATTATCATTGTATTGTTCAACATCAATTTGTTAAAACATTGATGAGAAAAAATAACCCTTCCTGGCCAGGGCCATTGCCTTTGTGGAGTTTCCATTCTCCTCGTGTCTGTGTGGGATTCTCCAGATTCTCTGGTTTCCTTCCACTTCCCAGATATGTGCACGTTAGGTGCACTGGTGTGTCTAAGTTGCCCAGCCTGAGTGGGTGTAGGTGTGGGTGTGGTGTGAGGGGAGAGCACCCTGCAGTGGAAGGGTATCCTGTCCAGGGCTGTGTTCTACCATGTGCTCTGTCTGAGCTGCCAGAATAGGCCCTGGTCATTTGTGACCCTGGAATAAGTGGGTTGGAAATCAATGCAAGTTATTGTTTAATATCAGAAGTGTTTGGGGTCTTTATTTAGAAGTTTGGTGATGTTCCTGTGACTAGCCCTTAATTCTTGTTTATGTCAGTTTACCTAAGGTAAAATTAAAATTGGTTTTGTGATACATCTTTTTGGTGGTCATATTTCTGAGACTCCATTGGCAACATGAAGTGAGGACTTGTATAATAGATTTAGCCCCAAATGTCTTCTGTTTTGGATTATGGTAATATTTGCCACCGTGCTTTGTGTGCCAGTATTTCTTTTCTCCACAGAGATGGTGTTACAGTCAGGCTGTGGTATTTCTTCTTGGTTATGCTGCCTTAACAAAAATCTCCCAATGTGCAATGATTTAAAATTACTTGTCTGTTTCTTGCTCATGTTTTCCCAGTACTGGGTATTTTTTTCATCTGTGTCTTCATTCAGGGATCTAGGCTAGTGCAGCAACCACATTGAAACATTGATGATCTCTGTGGAAGAGAAAGACAATGCAGTGAAGCCACACTGGCTTTTAAAGCTTCCCTTTGGAGGTAACACCTCTGCTCACACTCATTGACCAACACAAGTCACATACCCCTTGATAGATTCAACAGGCTCAGAAATATAATCCTACCATGTACCAGGAATATCACTGAACAACTTGAATAATTTAAAGATAGTTCTGCTAACCAGCCATAGTTTAGTTGAGGTTAAGTTAGTAGGTGAATATATTAGTAGGTATATTAGTAGGAGAAGTTGAATTATCTTTAGATAATTTAAAATGTTTGAAGTATCTATGATTGTATGTGGATTATATAATTTTATTTTTGTCTACTGCACCTGAAACATATGGAATATGTGCTCATACAATTGTAACTTGAAAACTTGCGTTTTTCTTCTAAAAAAGGACTCAAATGTGAAGTGGGCAGCCAAACAGACCTGCGGAGGTGAGGGAGGGATTGATAGGACAAGAACCCCATTCTGAACATGAACTTTGAGTACAGGGTGATGCTATGTGTTTGGCAGAACTTTGAGGGGATTTTGACTTTCACCGGACATCAGGCAGGAAGAGAGGCATGGAATAGTATTCCATTCAGTATGGCCTTCTACACCATGCTGCCCAGCCTGTATTCCTTTCTATAAACATATCCCAGCCTGGTGAACACATGACCTAGGAAAAAACTAAGAAACCAGATGAGGTGAAATTTTGCTACAGCTGTATATAATGTAAAACTTGTGTTATAATTTGCAGATATTTAAATCCATGCTGATTGGATTGCAAATTGAGACATTTAAGAAACTTGAAGTCACCAGTACTTTACCTCTAATTTAAAGGGCTGGTGCATCTGCCAGGTTGGATTATTTGCAAAGGTGGGTCATGGCCTTTGAGAATGTTGACTATCTTTCTCAAAATAAACTTGTTTCATTGCTGTTTATTGCCCCCAAGGTGAATATCAGTAGGTGAAAATGTTTGAGACATCCAAGTGAAAATGATAAAAACAAAGTTAAATTCCAATGGCCTACTAATTGTACTTGTCTGTGTGAGAATAAGTTTTTTTTTTTTTTAAAAAGACCTGAACCAGAATAATAGATTCTTTTTTTTTTTTTTTTAAGATTTATTTATTTATACAAGCACTGGGTACAGTCAGAAGCGCGGGAGGGTGAGAGAATTCACCAGAGCCAGAGCAGGGAGCAGAGCAGGCAGAAGGACCTAAGGACACTGCTAAGGGGAGCAGCGGGCGGCAGGAGAGGTCTGCGCGCCATGCATGACCCTCCTCCGGTGGCTGGGAGCAGCCGGGGATCGAACCAGCACTGCAGAGGCTGCGGGCAGCTTGACAACCCAGCGCTCAACCGCTGCGCCACCAGGGAGGCCCCAGAATAATAGATTCTTTAAAAAAAAGTAAAAACAGTCCAGCATTATACTTAATGGTCTGTTAGTCCATTGAAAACTTACATTTGGCTGCCTGGTGGGTATGATGTGGCAACACACCTGAAGGGAGTCTGTACCTCTAAATCATATATGGTATTATAAATCAATGTTACCTCAATTAAAACAGGAGAGTCTTAATAAGAAAAAAGAAAAAAATTGCAACTAGTCCAGGTCGAATGTCAGGAATGTATTATAATTTCATACATTTATAGATAGAAATTTACAAGTGGCCTAAAGACGATTTGCTAAAATACTCTTTACCAGACGCATGTACTTTTAGATCTTGAGCCATGGAAATGATTGAGTGTGGCTTCAGAGCCTTTGATTATTTGGTTTACCTCAAGCACCAAGTTTACACAAACTTACCAGTGCATGGCGAAATCTTGTTGGGTGATATTTCCTGCTTTTTCTTATGTCTATGTTTCCATTAGCTCTCTGAGCTTTGGCTTCACATGGATTTCCCCAAATGCCAACAGAAAATTTTTGCATAAAATTCTGATTGCTTTTAGTGTTAGTGTGACTTTAATAAAAGAGTTTAGACTTGTTCCTTGTCTTTTTTTTTTTTTTTTTCTTTTGAAACTAGAAATCACATAGGGAAATAATGCAAGTGAATCACAGTCTCTGATTCTGGATTGGCCTCTGAGTTAGGGGACTCCTGTCTCAGAAATGTGGGATGTGTTGTGGCTACTATGTTGTGGGGTTCCCTGTCCAGTCTCTAGTCACTGTCATTCCAGGGAAATCCCTCTCTGGGGCCAATATGGAAGTCAGACTTCTAGCAGTAAGAGGTGTGAGGTAAGAGTGGTTGCATAATTGTATGTTTGGCACCATATGGAAAGATCCTGCATGATGTTGATAATGATGCTGATGATAAGGTAGTTTATATTTTTTAACTTGTCAACTTTTCCAAAAAAGCTTAGGAGTTGGACATTGTTATTACCCCCATTTTTATGATTAAAACACAAAAATGTGGATCAAGTGAAGTCAGAAAATTTGATTAGTGCCAAACATCTATGAAATGGTAGATACGGGTTTGTTTTTTTTAAATAATAAATTTTATTTTTATATTCCCCATACAATTGCAACCCCCCCATTCTGACCCCAATCCCTCCCCTCCCTCCCCCCACCCCCAAAAAGTGTCTCTGGTTCATAGTTTTTTGTTGATTTTGATTTTCACTTTCTTATAGTTACTCATTTTCCTGGTCCCTTATTTAAGTTTTCTAGATTCCTGCTATGAGTGAGATACAGGTTTTTAATCTGGCAGCCTGCTTCTAGAATTTTTACCATTAGGTTACAGAAAAACAGTTGAAATTCACAGAGTAAAACAAACTCCTGATCACATCATTTGAGCCCTATATCTCTCTGTTCTTGACATAGCCCTGGGGTTCCTGGATGAGCGAAGACTTTCCCTTTTTAGTTTAAATTAATCTGGGATGGATTTCCATTACTTGTGCCTGAAAGAGAACTGACACATGCTTGAATGAGCAATGGGGAAGTCTTGGAAAACTGTGC